ACTATTTCTTTAATTAATTATCTTAATTGGTTAGGTAAAAAAAATATTTTTCAATTTAATTTATTCATTAAATATTTCGTTAATCATGTGTTTTATTTATTTCATATTTAATTGCTCTATTTCGATTATTTATTTGAATAATATTTATTCGATTTTTCGTTTTACTATTTCTTTAATTAATTATCTTAATTGTTTAAGTAAAAAAAATATTATTCAATTTAATTTATTCGTTACATATTTCGTTAATAATGTATATTATTTATTTCATATTTAATTACTCTATTTCGATTATTTATTTGAATAATATTTATTCGATTTTTCGTTTTACTATTTCTTTAATTAATTATCTTAATTGGTTAGGTAAAAAAAATATTTTTCAATTTAATTTATTCATTAAATATTTCGTTAATCATGTGTTTTATTTATTTCATATTTAATTGCTCTATTTCGATTATTTATTTGAATAATATTTATTCGATTTTTCATTTTACTATTTCTTTAATTAATTATCTTAATTGTTTAAGTAAAAATAATAGTATTCAATTTAATTTATTCGTTACATATTTCGTTAATAATGTATATTATTTATTTCATATTTAATTACTCTATTTCGGTTGTTTATTTGAATAATATTTATTCAATTTTTCGTTTTACTATTTCTTTAATTAATTATCTTAATTGTTTAAGTAAAAAAATATTATTCAATATAATTTATTCGTTACATATTTCGTTAATTATGTATATTATTTGTTTCATATTTAATTACTCTATTTCGATTATTTATTTGAATAATATTTATTCGATTTTTCGTTTTACTATTTTTTTAATTAATTATCTTAATTGGTTAGGTAAAAAAAATATTTTTCAATTTAATTTATTCGTTAAATATTTCGTTAATCATGTGTTTTATTTATTTCATATTTAATTACTCTATTTCGATTGTTTATTTGAATAATATTTATTCGATTTTTCATTTTACTATTTCTTTAATTAATTATCTTAATTGTTTAAGTAAAAATAAGATTATTCAATTTAATTTATTCGTTACATATTTCGTTAATAATGTATATTATTTATTTCATATTTAATTACTCTATTTCGATTGTTTATTTGAATAATATTTA